CAAGCCATTTCAGTTCAAAGTCGGGTTTCAAAAATGTTACATGCATGATCAAACACGAGGGCCACATGACTAGACAAACCCAGTTCGTACGTTGTAGTTACAATATATTTGCCGTGAGTTTCCAGTTTTATGAAAAATAATTTGTAAGGGACACAGGAACGTTGCAATGTATTCGATTTGGTAGGGAAATACAATTTAAAACTGGGATTGAAAGATTTTTTTGTGCAAATATTTTATTGACATAGTCCCAACAATAATTTTGTTATTCACCCATTTCTGTTCTTTCACATCATTCAGTCACCATGCACATTTCTGTCCTCCTCACAAAACCCGCCAGCCAACCTCGTTTTCAAATGCGACAATCATCTCCACAATAGTTAGTGTGGTAAGCGGTAACTTATTTTGTTCTTACATACAAATTAACTGTTATCTAACGAATTTATTTTCTGTATTTCAGGCGACAACGATAAACTTGCTCAGTCTGTGAATATGAACGGTGCAACCACGATGATGTCACATCCCTGCACAGTGACGTCACCTATACCTGGAACAATTTCTGGCAACGTAGCCACGTCACCCGCCATGAAACACACGAACGATGTGATAGCGCCACCAGCGAAGAAAATGTGCGAGGTTCCTGCGATGACCAAACTGAGCCCCTCAATGACGACAAATTTGACGACATCTGACAACAGTTACGCTCACCACCGCACTTTCAGCCGACCGGATTTACCGATCACCACCTGTGGGCCGGTCCTGATGCCTCCGACAATGTTACACTTTCACCCACCAGTCACCACTGCCTCTTTCACTCGCCCTCCTCACTACCAGTTTCCAGCATGCAACATGTCCTCTGACTGGGGGTACACGCAACTGACGGCTCAGCACAAGCACTGAATATAATTCCATTTAGAACTTGGGATGGAACTCTTTGATTGGTTAGAAATGATCACGTAAAGTGCTGGTGACTTTCAATATGCAAATGAACTGCATGTAAAGAATGTGGACAAACTATTGCCCCTTCCACATTTTTTTCTTTATGTAACACGAGAGAGTTCTAAAACCCCTCAGTTGTTCATAGACAAAAGTACGACATATCAGAAAAAATGAGAACATCGGAAATATTACAGTTTGATATTTGAATGTGTTTTTTTTAAAGAAAAGTTTTTATTTATATAATATATACTGATATTTATTGAACTTAAGTTGAATTTTATCTTTTTATAACGAATTATCTGTTTAATTTATTGAAACTATTTTTCGTACGTATTTAATGAAACGTGCTCCCGGCCTCCAGTGAAACATGCATGGTATGTGTACTGGAGAGCGCCCTCACATGAATCCGGACCAAGTTCACAACCTTCAACCCGAACAACGACAACGGTGTGCAGAAGGAGTGGTAATTTCAGTCAAGTTCAATGTGACGTATTCATTTCAAAAGTTTGACTATAAAAAGTGTGATTTTGTTATTTCATCCAGAGACAATAAAGCAATGTTTCTTATAGTAGTGGTATCGTTTATTCCAGAACCTATTTAAAACACAATGCAGAATCTTTGTGACGGAAATCGCCATCATTGGATATAGAAATATTATAATTGAAGTCTGGAAATATTTCAATATTCTTCATCTATATAATAATTAGCGCTTTCAGAAACTATATGTATACAATACACCCGTCACTCATTCATGGAAATATTGATGTAACTCTCCAGTCGACTTTCATGAAAAAAAAGTTAACGTAATTTACACGTTTTGTATAAATTGCTATGGAGCCCCATATCAAACAGAACGCGAACGACTGTAGCAGTTTAAATAAGCAAAAACATGGATATAACACTTTGGGTTTATTTTGTTTATGTTGTTTGTTATATTTAATTTGTGCTTTGTCGTAAACCAAAACACTTTGTTTGAATGCATACGCGTAGATACAGGACTCCATGTTATATTTATCGTGTCATCACCAGCATCAATAATCCAAATTTGTGATAAATGAGACCAAACGAGTTCCGAACAGCGTGCACGTACCTCCTCTTCATATTCAGTAATTAAAATTATAATCTGAATTCTGAAATACGAGGTGTAAATTTATGATAAAAACTACGAAAACGGCACGATACAGTCAATCACTACCGACTGATATGCTACATTTTGGCCATCATTTCCCAGTGTGGGATAGCAAAATAAGTATATACAGTATCAAAGATAACAATTTATTTGACATTGAATATTCGATAATAGACCAAAACAGCATACTCGTTATATCAAGTTTGTAAGTTTTCTAAGTTCCGAAGCCGTGTGCTTATGATTTACTATCATGGACACCGGTATGCTAGTTCGGTCTACTTTCGAACAATCAACACCAAATAAATTGTTTCATTCAGTAGAACGTTTTGTATTCTACCGTAGTAAATGACAACACTCGTAATCTTGATACTAATCAAGTAATCAAACAGAGTATATCAGTTGTATATTACATGTTTGTTTTACACTCCGTATTTCAGAATATGCATTGTTAAAAACTAAGTATTCCCGACCGTACTACAGCGCACGATGACGAGCTTCAATAAACGTATTTCGAATACAGACATAGTAGGTTACCACTATTCGAGAAATCTCTGAATGTAAAATATCGTAAATACTTTATTCCCAACACGTTTGGCCATCATTCACTATGATCGTGGAATACCATAAAAACATACACCAACGAACATATTTTTTTTATCTGAAATTAAACATTCAAAAATAAAACTAATCACCCAAACTGCGGTTATTGGGCGGGGCGAATACTATCTGAAATAATCAAATGTCAGAATTTCATGTAATACATTAAAAAAAATAAAATTAAATACTGAATATGAAACATGCTAGCAAGTCACGAATCGCCAACAAGACAACAGGGTAGTGATACTTCTATAATGCCAGCTAGTCGGATAACCACTGAAACTGCAAGCGATACAGACACAGACACAGACAAAATAATACATATATTTTTAATAAGGATGGGTAAATTTCCATTTAGCCCCCCCCTCTTTCTGAACCTCAGAGTCAACTACACCATTGTATTTGAAATTAAAATAATTACGCAGTATGCAGGAGCTCATAGTAATAAAAAAAAAGTCTGAGGATAAACGGATGGCTTGCCGTAAATCATTGATGTTTAAAACAGTCCTGTAATTTTGTTTCAAATAGAATCGTGAAGCAACTACCGGCGAATTTCAATTCAGTCGTAAACAATAATAATAGCAGTAGTAGTAGTAATATTTATACATATAATAAGAATACTCGTAGACCACTATAGCTATAATTATATGATATACTGAAGTTGATCGCACTAGCTTTAAATGTAACATATGATAAAGTAGTATGTTAAATCAGAGGTACATTACTTGGGGTTTGCAACTATGGTGACACGATACCAAGATCCCGTTTCAATCTCGCTCTCGCATAAGCGTTCCAACTCAGAAAAATGCGAATGCGCATGCCCGAGGTGACTAGGATACTGGGATGTCCAGGTGGATCAAAATAGCTGTTCACGATATGGCGAATTACGATAACTATATTTTCTGTACATTTTTAGATTTATTCCATTTTTTCACTATGAATGTGGTAATACATGTTTCATTGTTTTATTACAAACCGCCTTTGTCATGTCAGAAGGTAGGAGCATCAGTCTCGCTATCTACGAGATGAGACTTGAATGGGATCTTGGAATGATGTCACCATACTATGTGCGTTGCAAACCCCCAAGTAATGTACCTCTGGTTAGATATATATATATGCTAAAAAAGTAGATCCCATTATATATAAAATATATCATGTGCTAAAGTAGACTACACTAGCTATAAATATATTTTATATGCTAAAGTAGACCATATTAGCCATGCAATTTATCACATTAGCTAGAAAATAAATCATGTGCTAAAGTAGACCATATTAGCCATGCAATTTATCACATTAGCTAGAAAATATATCATGTGCTAAAGTAGACCACACTAGCCACGCAATTTATCACATTAGCTAGAAAATATATCATGTGCTAAAGTAGACCATATTAGCCATGCAATTTATCACATTAGCTAGAAAATATATCATGTGCTAAAGTAGACCACACTAGCCATGCAATTTATCACATTAGCTAGAAAATATATCATGTGCTAAAGTAGACCACATTAGCCATGCAATTTATCACATTAGCTAGAAAATATATCATGTGCTAAAGTAGACCATATTAGCCATGCAATTTATCACATTAGCTAAAAATATATCATGTGCTAAAGTAGACCATATTAGCCATGCAATTTATCACATTAGCTAGAAAATATATCATGTGCTGAAGTAGACCACACTAGCCATGCAATTTATCACATTAGCTAGAAAATATATCATGTGCTAAAGTAGACCATATTAGCCATGCAATTTATCACATTAGCTAGAAAATATATCATGTGCTAAAGTAGACCACACTAGCCATGCAATTTATCACATTAGCTAGAAAATATATCATGTGCTAAAGTAGACCATATTAGCCATGCAATTTATCACATTAGCTAG